TCCTTGCTTTGCACTGCCCCTTAACTAGCCTAGGGGGTGTGTCAACTTATACATATGTTAGTATATAGAAGTTCTAGGCTATATAGACTTGTGTTCTTAGAGAGTACAACTCCAACCCTATATCTCCTCTGTTTGTAATAGTTTTCACTTTCGGGCTCGCGTCTGGGTGGTGTGTTGCGAAGTGTGCTTCGCACCCCTTGCGACCCGGAGTCGTGTCCTTACCTCCAACTGCTGTTTGTGGTTTTCGATCGGTGAGTGTTGTTGGGGCAGGTCTTCTTTTCCTAGTTTTTTCTTGCCCAATCAGAGTCCTCACAATGGACTCGACGTTGTCAAGTCATCTCTGTGTTCTGCGGTTTGGTCTCGTCGCAGGCCGTCACCTATGTGCGACGCCCTACAGAGTTGTAGATCCGCATGTTGTAAAACTGCTGGATCCACAGCCGGATCCAGCAGCAATAGATCCAGCTTGGGTGTAGATCCAACATGGTAGGAATACGCCCTTAGTCTTCTGCACTGTTTTACAAATTATTACAGCCCGTCAGTGGTTTCCCTACCCATTTTGCATCGCTGCAACTGATGGCATATTCCTACTACCCTTACAACCCAGGATCTCAAGCCATCACAAGAGATTCTAAACCCTAAACTATCGTCCTCACACAGGGAGGCTTTAGGCTTCTTCTGAGTTGTGGAGAAATATGAACGCATGCCAGGATGTACCGTAATCTCCCGGCATAATGACCCTAGGTCTTATGGAAAATTCAGTGAAAATCGTTTGGGTGGACATTTTAAAGAATGGTAATTAATAAGACCCATGTGCAGTTATTTAATACGTAAGGTGTTTCTCTGTCACATGTTCTGGTATTCCAAACTAATCAGGGGTCATTTGTTTCAAACGGGGGACAGTAGATTCTTAGCCTCGTTTTGTCCGAGCCATCTAGATGGACACGCGTCAGTTTCTTAGCACCAACGGCTGACAACTTTACAGCACTGGCGCGTTGTGCGGGCTTCTTGACTGCCAGCAGGAGTCATTACGAGGGGGGTTCGTTCACGGAGTCTCTATGATGTGGAAGTTGACTTCGTAGTGCATGACGCATTTTGAAATTGAGCAAAAACTGCCTGAAAAACCTCTTAAAACTGAAAAGGGGGGGGGGTCCTCAAATGATTTACCCCAAACAGCGGGTCCTCACAATCCCTTTACGATATTAAGACCCATGGTCCGAGAAAAAGACCCAGAGTCCCTTTTTCGGGGGGGTAATCTGTCAAATGTAACGCCCTTGTCGCTACGGTCGCTGACTTCGCCTCTACCCGCCGCCTTGACTACGCCACCGCTCTGGTCTCTGACCCTGCCTGTCCTCTGTCTGTCGCGGGTGCTCCTGCCCTTGGCAGTGACGTCCTAGAGGACCGCCAGTACGAGCTTGCTTTCCTGTCCAAGGCTGCTCCCCATCTCTGTTCCATGCTTTTAGTCCCTGAGGGTGACCCCGACGCTTTCGACATCCCGACCCCTCGCAGTTACGCTGAGGCGGTCTCGCGACCCTGGGCCTCTTAGTGGATAGTTGCCACGGAGCAGGAGATGGCAGCTTGGAGATCCACCGGCACCTACGTCAACACAGTTCCTCCACTTGGGGTGAACGTAGTTGATGGCTGCTGGCTCTTCAAGGTGAAGCGCCCTCCTAGAGAGCCGCCTGTGTTCAAGGCGCGCTACGTGGCTAGAGGTTTCAGTCAGCGTGAGGGGGTGGACTTCTTCCAGAACTTCGCTCCGACCCCGAAGATGACTACTCTTCGGGTGCTACTACACATAGCAGCGCAGCGTGACTACGAGCTTCACTCCCTCGACTTCTCCATTGCGTTTCTTCAGAGCAGTCTACACGAGCAGGTCTACCTGTGTCGCCCTCAGGGCTTCACTGGTACCTTCCCTCCTGGGACCCAGTGGCTCCTCCGGCGCCCCGTCTACGGCCTGCGGCAGGCTCCCCGTGAGTGGCACGACACGCTGCGTGCTACGCTTGCTGACCTACAGTTCTTTCCGTCCTCTGCAGACCCCTCGCTCTTCGTTCGTGCTGGCCAGACTCTGTTCTACCTCCGTGTTTACGTAGACGACCTGGTCTTCGCCACGGCAGACAGGGACGCACTGGCCTCCGTGAAGGCAGAGCTGCTGAAGAGACACACCTGCACTGACCTTGGAGAACTGCGCCACTACCTTGGCTTTCAGATCTCCATGGGCAGTGCAGCCCGCACCATCACTTTGACTCAGTCACACTTTATGCGCCAGGTCCTTCAGAGGTTCGGCCTTCAGTTCTCCTCCGCACAGCCTACTCCTCTGCCTCTAGACCACAGGCTCTCCGCTCTTGTTCCTGAGGAGTCAGCAGAGCCCAATGGTCCATACGCAGAGCTGGTGGGTTGCCTCATGTAGCTGATGGCTTGCACGCGCCCAGATCTCGCATACCCTCTCAGCATCCTGGCTCCCTTTCTGGCTACAAGCAAACACCGACCTCAGCACTGGTCTGCCGCTAAGAGGGTTTTGCGTTATCTTGCAAGTACATCAGGCATGGGGTTAGTGCTAGGAGGACGTAGGCCAGTGGTCCTTACTGGACACACAGACGCTTCTTGGGCAGACGACGCCGAGACCCTCAGGTCCTCACACGGCTACAGCTTTAGCCTTGGTTCAGGTGCCGTCTCGTGGAGAGCTACCCGCTCCTCATCTGTTGCCTAGTCCAGCTGTGAGGCCGAGATCTACGCTGGTGCCATGGCGGCACAGGAGCTCCGCTGGCTGACCTTCTTGCTCACAGACTTAGGTGAGCGGCCTAGCTCTGCCCCGGTCCTGTACGCTGACAACAGGGCCATGATCCTTCTGTGTCAGGAGCCTCGACTCGAGGGCAGAGCGAAGCACATTCAGCTGCGGTACTTCCTCCTACGTGAGCTGCAGCAGCGTCGCCAGGCGCGCGTAGTACACTTGGCCTCAGCTGATATCTTTACGAAGGCGCTTGCGCCTAAAGATCATCAGCAGCACTGTGTACAGCTGGGTCTCGTTCCTGTATCCTCTCACTTGCTAGGGCCTTGACTTTGTACTGTCCTTTATATCTACAGTGACGGAAAAAAAATGGGCTTATAAATCCACTGCAGTACATAAACTTTGTGATTCTGGCATTATATGTTGTCAAAACCCAACCACAACAGAATACATAGTGTGCCTGTTGACCTGAGTTTCTCAATGCACTTGGGTGTTGTAACTTTTATCGAGTTTATTGTAAAGAGTACAATAATAAGCGCTCGTTACTCGATGCGGACACTTTAGGCCAACATCGAGCCCATATCTATTTCCTGCCTGCATTACGCGTCCTCGCAACCAATGCTTCCTTTTTTTGCTCGATAGTACAGCGGCAACTACACCAAGCCCCCTGCGACGATGCGACCGCTTCTTTCTAGCCAGAAAGTTAGGATCGCGACACTGCTTCGACAGGGCCAGAGTCTTCGTCAAATCGCTAAAGCATTAGGAATAGGGAAAAGCACGGTACAGAAATACGCACGCGAACCCTCCCAGCGCACGAGCAGCCTAGCGGTCAGGCCGATTGTTCCTAGGAACGGCCGACCGTGCGTACTCTCGGTTCGTGATAGGCGCTCACTGGTGCGAGCCGTCACTTCTGGCCATGCGAAGAGTAGCATAGAAGCCGCGAAACTTCTAGAATCAGAGCGCGGCATCAAGATATGCCCTAGAACCATGCGCAACGCCCTGAAGAACTCCGGTTTAGTAGCCGTGCAGAAACCGAAGAAGCCGCGACTATCTGCCCGAAACATCAAAGACCACCTCGACTTTGCCAAGGCGCACGTTGACTAGACCATTGAAGACTGGAAGCGGGTGATATGGTCCGCCGAGACCAAAATCAACCGCTTGTCCAGTGATGGCCGCAAGTACGCATGGATTCGCGACGGGGCGGCCCTTCAAGGTCATCAGATTCAACAAACCGTCAAGCATGGGGGCGGGTCATTGATGGTATGGGGGTGCATGACTTATAATGGCCCGGGGTATATGTGCAAGATTGACGGCCGCATGGATGGGGAGCTGTACAGGAGTATATTGCATGATGAGCTTGCTCAAACTATCGATTTCTATAGTCTAACCCCCTCGGATGTCATTTTTCAGCATGACAACGACCCCAAGCACAAGAGCCGCCTTGTGCAAGCATGGCTAGCTGAGCAGCCGTATGCGGTCCTCAAGTGGCCCTCCTCCTCTCCTGATCTCAATCCCATAGAGCACATGTGGGCACACCTCAAAAGGGAGCTCGCCAAGTATGAGCACCCCCCCACGGGGATGCTCCAGACTTGGGAGCGGGTGCAAGAGACATGGGATGGGATTGGAGCGGATGTGTGCAGGGGCCTGATCAACAGCATGCCTAGGAGGATGAAGGCAATGGTTAGGGCTAAGGGGAGGTGGACTAGGTACTCATTTTGAAATGTTGAACACTTTCTTCAAATCTGGCCAAAAGTGTCCGAATAGGACTTGGTGAATGTGGTTGTTGGTTTGGCATTATAAACATGCCCTTTCAGGCTGCATGACATGTGCTCCTCTTGCTCAGGAGGCACTACACTAGTACATTAAATCCCCCTGTTTTTAAAACTCTGTATAAGAAATACACACGCATTTTAACCTCTCAAAGGGTCAACATATGGATTGTTTCTTCCGTAACTGTATATTTTACCCAGACTGGCCTTGTGGCCTCTCCTAGTGGCTGGACTAGTAGTGCCGCCCTGGGCTTGCTTTTGCCTTGTCTGTACTCCTTTTGACTGGTCTTTAGACCCTTGTCTCAGAGGCTGGACTAGTAGTGCCGCCCTGAGCCGCTTCTTCCCTTGTTAGGCACTGCCCCTATATAGTCTAGGGGGTGTGTCAAATGTAACTTAGGTTGTTACTATAGACTATACTGGATTGTGCCTTAGAGGGTTCAACACCTTAGTCTATATATCCTTGTACACACACATTCTAGTTCAATCATTTTCTTTCTGTTATAATCATGCTGGGAGATTACAGTATGTTGAAAAAACAGCACAGCACAGGATGTTGGAATGTATGCTTCGTAATGTGCATCTGCATTTGCCCCTACAGCATTGATTTTTTGCATTTCACTACCGTAATAGCACTGATGTTTTCTGTCGATGAAAGTGGAGCGCCGCTGACGAACTAAACCTTCCTACTGCATGATGCTTCAAAATCGTAGGTCTTAAGTGGAAAGTTTCATTGAGCACACTCCACCATAGATGAACATGATCGCACCGATGACAGAACTCCACAGTGGATATCGTTTGAGAGATTTGGTCAAATCATGGGCTCCATGACAAAAAGATAACTCAATGGTCCATCTCCATAAGAAGGCCTTGACCAGCGCAGTGCTTTAGTAGGTAAGTTGTAGTCACATTCCCCTCTGCAGAACGAAATATAAGGTTTCAATTCGAAGCCTTACACTCTAGATAATTGTGGGGAGTCTTTGTTCCGTGAAAATGCAAAGAAGCCTGCAGAACGAACACTGCATGTGAGTGGCAGGAAGCCAACGAGAAAACAATAGCAAAGAAAGCGGACAAAACCCCGCTTTGTTAGGTGAAGAGTTGATGAAAGATGGGTGCGTGTGAGTGTGTGTGAGGGGGAATGAGAGAGAGAGAGAGAGAGAGAGAGAGAGAGAGAGAGGGAGAGAGAGAGAGAGAGAGAGAGAGAGAGAGAGAGAGAGAGAGAGACTGGGGTAGGGACTAAGGCTTGGGCAGATACTCAGATTGTGAAGGTATGAGAGACCTTGGAATAATTCACTTGAAAAGTTGCATTCGAATCCTTCTCTACTTGGAAATTTGATTCGGTTGGCATGTCATCAACATCTCCAAACCAATCTGAATCCTCGACATCTGCCCAAGGCGATAGTGAATTAGAGGTGCAGAACAAGCAGGTGTAGACCGAACCGAGAATGATGGTATGTAGCTACCTTCGTCGTTGTTTCCTTCTGCAATGTCTAGCAGCAGAGCCTCCGCGAATTTCTTGTCGATTTCCGTTTCCACCACACCGTGGAGTCTTTTCATGGCAGGAGTTTGCTGACTACGTGGCGTGGTCACTTGAACGCGCTTATTAGCCCTGTCTTGTTCCACGACCTCCTGAAATTTCCGCTTCGCACCAAAAGCTTCCATAGCTGACGGCTCTGTCTCTGTCACGCGGCAAGATGTTGAGGAACCTGGCTTCAGTGAATAGAATGAGGAGCATGTGCTCCGTTATGTTCTGAACACTGGATAATGTACCCTCATAGACGCAGCGCGAGGTGATTGAGATGTCCCAGGCTGAGGGCAGGCCCGAAGAAAACGTCCCACATATTCTGTCTGCGGTGGTGTACGGTGATACGCGCTGCGAGACGGTATTTTGGCTTCACCAATCTGAACCTTTAACTAACGTATTGCACCTGTACAAACTTTAATCGTGACGTACTCTTGGGGACACGCCCTGAAAACCAACCCCAATGTCGTGAAGGGGTGGGGGGAGAGGGTGTCTGACTTGTGCGAGGTTCGAGCATTTGATTCCTTATCACCAAACGGTACACCCAAGTAATATCAGACCAACATGTACAGGTAAACATCGAGCTCATACATCATCCTGCTAAACATGTACAGGTAAGTTGTTTATTTTTAAGGTGGCCCCAACAGAGGAAGGCAATTTGTAATAGTATGGCCACTTATTCTTTGTCTATTTCTGAAATGAATTATTCCTTCGAGCATTGATAATCATTTCGAAATAGGGTGTTGGGCTGAGAAAAGCCCTTAGGATTTTTCCAGAGACTAAGTCCCAGTTGAGGATTGAGACTTGAGTAGTGCAGCGGAAGTTGAGTAGTTGAACCCTTGTACTAGTATATGAGAACAAGTGATTCATTAAAGAAACAAGCATACAGCAATATATAGAAAATAAGAAAGCAGTTGTAGAACACAATTGCAGGAGCGGTTATCGAGTCGCACAGCGACTCGATTGTCGCTTCGGTTACCATCCGCGCTGTTGTAACGGTCAGTCGCAACCTCCAGTTGCGACCCTTCGAGTCCCTTCGCGTTCTTTGTCCGCCCCCTCGTGTAACCTCCGTTGACTCGCATACCCGTTGTGATCTTCCTCGAGTGTAGTGTTACACTTCAGAAACGCTTAAGTCCTTTGAGGTATTTCCAACACTCCCCTTCGTTTCTGGAGTGCTGACGTGTTCAGATCCGGTGACGTTTGTCTGCCCGGTCAGCAGCGTGCAGTAATCGAATTTTGCCTTCGCCAATTTCTTCGTCAGATAGTCTGCGGCCATTTCTGTCGTCGGGCAGTAACTGAGTTGAAGTCTCCCCTTCGCGATTTCATCCTTGACGAAGAAGTACCGCAGGGCGATGTGCTTGGTTCGGTTGGCGAAGCCGTCCTTGTTCGCGATTTTGATCGCAGATTGGTTGTCGCAGAGGAGTGAGAAGACGGGCAGGGTCGCAATCTTCGCTTCCTCGAGCAACTCTCGTAGGTAGAGTCCTTCCTTGGTCGCAGTACAGAGGGCGATATATTCTGTTTCAGCCGAAGATAGTGCGATTAGTTCCTGCTTGCTCGACTGCCAGGAGATAGTCCCGATAGGTTCTAGTCGGTAGATGTAGCCCGTTCTCGATCGTCGATTTTCCTTGTCTCCCGCGTGGTCGGCGTCGACGTATCCGAGTAGTTGTACGAATGATGCCGTTACTTTACTCTAGGTAAGCCCGGTCGTCGGTGTGGAGACAAAGTAGAGTAGTGCCCGATTAAGTTCCTCGAGATCTTCTTGTTCCGGCTGCTTCAGATGCGTCGCCAGTTGGCTCGCGCTGTAAGATAGATCGGGTCGGCAGGTTACTGCTGCGAATAGTAGGCAGCCGAGCTTCTGCTGATACTCCTGGATTTGCTTCGCGGGGAGTTTTGCGGAGGTGTTGCTGTTGTTCCCGTAGCGGTAGGGAGTCGGGACCGTAGTCGGCGTTAGACCGAATTTCTTCGCAACAGTGCCTGCGTATTTTCCAGCGTGTAGGTAGAACGCCGAGTTGTCTTCGATGACATTCAGTCCCAGGTATTGGGTCACTGAGTCGGACACTGTGAGTGCCAAGTCCCTTTTCAGCTCCCCTTCGAACCAGGTGGCGATGTCGGTGGTGGAACCGATGTAGAGCAGGTCGTCGACGTAAACGATGAGTACGATATACTCTCTTCCCTTCTGCAGTCGGTACATGCCTTGGTCATGCGGCAGCTGTAGGAATCCGATTTTTACGAGGCCACCGTGAAGATGCTGCTGCCAGAGCCGCGGGGCTTGCTTGATCCCGTAAAGGGATTTTATCAGCTGGCATACTTTTGTAGGGTCGTCGATGAATCCGTGGGGCTGCTCGACGAAGATCTCGGCGTCCACAGGTGCGTACAGGAAAGCATTTGCGACGTCGATTTGGCGCAGTGGTAGTTTCTTCGTGGCCGCGACGGCGAGTAGGATGCGCAGGGAGGTGTGACGGGAGACTGGGGCAAAGGTTTCTGTGTAGTCGGTTCCGTATCGTTGATCGAAGCCTCGTACGACCCATCGAGCTTTGAATCGTTCGATGGAGCCGTCCGCGTTGGTCTTGATGCGGTACACCCACTTTCCCGAGAGGACGTTCTTCCCGTTGATGTTCGTTGTAGGTACCAACTTCCATGTATTTCGGTCTTGAAGAGATTTTAGTTCCTTTTCCATCGCCTCCTTCCATTTTGCATTATGTTCCCCCCCTAGAGCCTGCGACAGAGTCGAGGGCTCGCGCGGAGATGGCGGCGGCGGGTGCTGGACGGAGACCCATAGGCCGAGGATCTGCAGTCCCGTGGGTGTGTGTCGAGGGGAATTTTCATTCCCGGAATAAGCTGCTTCGTCACCATCTTCTGGATCAGGTAAGAAGTTTGGGCCGATGCGTTCTGGAACATTCGTGTCGACGGGGTGGGGTGTAACGTAACCTTGGTCAGCGAAGTGGTAAAAGGTGTCGAGGTTATTGCTATCGAGAGGATTGTCTTCATCGAGTGGAACAGGTACGGAACAGAAAGGGAGTGGTCCGGCAGCTTCCGAGGCTTCAGGTACGTCTTCTTCTGCGGCGTCAGCCTCGGCAGCACAATCGGCGAAGGAACGAAGGCCCGTGAGGCCGTCGGTGGGGTCGTGTGTGTTGGCAATGTTGTCCAGGTAATGCTGCAGCGTCAGTCGCTCGTAGAAGATAACATCACGTGATGCCACCGTATTTTTGTCTTGTATGTCGAGAATTTTCCATGCGTGAAAATGTTTGGCGATGCCGAGGTGTAGTCCCCACCGAGCTCGTTGAGTGAAGCGTCCTGCTCGGGCTGTGTGGGGTCTGTACTGTACCATGCAGCCGAAAACTCGAAGTAATTTTGTGCTGCCCCTTTTTCGTGTCCACAGCAGGTGCGGTGATGCGTTGTTGGGAAGCGATGACGAGGACAACAGATTGTGCAGGTGGACTGCATGTGTCACAGGATCGAATGTGTCGAGGAAAGGTTGCACTATCGATCAGTACAAGGCGCTTTTATACTTCCTAAGTACATCAGGTAACCAGGTTTATCTTATCCTAAGGGAATAGACCCTTCTAGAAGATAGAATCACCCTGCGTATAGCCACGCGAGGCTATTGGCTTTAAGGGATTACGGCAGGATTACGCTAGATATAGCGCACCAGTACATCCCAAGCCTGGTCGGTGATATAATTATAATAGCAGGATAAACCAAAGGTTAATGGAGAATAGGAAACCAAATGAGATGAGATAAAGAGAAATGAACGAGGAAGGAAATAAGAAAAGGGACAAGTGGTGTAACGGGGTCGTACTCTCACACTTCCCCCCCTCAAAGCTGGGTGGTAGAAGTAACACCCTGCTTGACAAGGTAGTCATGCAGAGGGCGACGGGCGTTACCCATGTCGGACTCAGGGACCCAGCTGTCCTCAGAAGGATCATAACCCTTCTAACGGATGAGAAGCTCCATGGTGCCATTCCGACGTCGGCGGTGTGCTAGCACGGACTCGACCTCGTACTCGGGTTCATTGTGGACGAGGACGGGCGGCGGCGGCGGCGGTTGGCGTCCGACGAAGATCGTGTTCGGATCCCGGTAGGGCTTCAGAAGCTGGACATGGAAGGCGTTGTGAATCTTCCAGGTAGCTGGCACGCGTAAGCGGAAGGTAACAGGAGTGACCTGTGCTTCAACGAGAAAAGGCCCGCAGAAGCGAGGTCGAAGTTTAGATGGGAGGTGGCTGATGTCCAGGTTGCGGGTGTCAAGAAGCACCTGGTCGCCCACCGTGATGGTGTGGTCGTTGCGATGGCGATCGGCCTGGCGCTTTTGTTGCTGTTGAATGTCGAGGAGGCGCTTATGGGTCCGATCCCAAAGCTGATGCATGGTTGTGATGAAATCATGTGCAGGTTGTACCGTAGCGGATGTTGTCGGTTTCTGTGGTGTGAGTGGGTGGCGTGCGTAGCAGAGGAAGAACGGCGTCTGTCCAGTAGCGGCATGCGTAGCATTGTTGTAAGCAAACTCTAGTACGGGCAGGTGCAAGTCCAATTTGGAGATGTCGTCCTTGCAGGCTGCTCGGAGGAGTTGCTCAACAATTTGGTTGAGGCGCTCGGTCTGTCCGTCTGTCTGCGGATGGTATGCGGATGACATGGCGAGTTTGGTCCCGAGAAGATACATAAGTTCCTTCCAGAACTTGCTGGTGAACTTGGGGTCTCGGTCGGAGATGAGTGTGGTTGGAATGCCATGCTGTGAGATGATATGACGAACGAAGAGCTGTGCTGTCTCCTCGGTGCGTGCTGTCGTGTGTGTCGGGATGAAGTGTCCCATTTTGGAGAACTTGTCAATGACGACAAGGATTGCGTCATGACTGCTGGTGGTAGGTGGTAACCCGGTGATGAAGTCTAGGCTAACCACTTGCCATGGCTGTTCTGGGACAGAAAGAGGCTGCAGTAGTCCCGCCTTTTTCTGCTTGCTGCTCTTCATCCGCTGACATGTATCACACGAGGTGACGAATTTCTGGACGTCGTCTGCCATATGGGGCCAACAGTAGTGTTTGGCGATACCGGTGAGCGTCTTGCAGGTATGGTGTTGGAGTACCAGAATCCGTCGGGGTTGAAGTCGGGGTCAAGATCCGGCGGGTGTGTCCAGGCGGCGAACGACACAATGCCATCACTGTCGGCAGTACCGCGGTCGGTGACGAAGTCCAACACGAAGACGCCTGACTTCAGGAGAGCACGACCGATGAAGAGGCCGCCCTTCCCGTGGTAAAGGCGAAACTCGTTGGAGTCCGAGTCGCACTCCAGGTGAATTCCTTTTGCCATTAGCTGGCTGACGCTTAGCAGATTGTATCCCAAGTTGTCGACGATTAGAACCTTGTTGAGTTGCAGGATGACATTTGTTTCCATGGACTGTAACTGAACGACTCCTTGTCTATTTGTTTTCAGGTTCTCGTTGTTGGCGATAGTGATGATGACATCGCGGTTGAGGCGTCGCTCTCGTTGCACGAAGCGTCCGGAAGAACACATGTGTTGACCGCAGCAGCTGTCCAAGAACCAGGTGTTTCGCCCGGTGGGTTCGGAGTTGGCGACCGCAGCGTATGTCGGGTTGACCTGAAGTCCTTGTGAGCGCGGCGGCGGGAATTCTTCTTCGTCTGGTGCGTAGGTGGGTGGTGATCCGGGTGCGCAGTTGTCGATGTGTACCATGCAGTTGATGATGTTCGGTGTCCCTTGTGCAGATGTGGAAGAACGTCTTGGAGGGCTTTCTTGAGTGGAGGCGACTTGTGGGTCTACTGGACGATAGACACGAGGACGTGTGCAGTTGACTTTGGAATGTCCGGATGTTTGACAGTTGTGACAGAACGGCGGCACGATGGTGAGTCCTCCGTTGTCGCGTTGATCTTACTTGCCGCGTCGATTGTAGTTGTTGTCGTTCCTTCGTTGAGTGTAGAAAACTAACTGCTGCTGCTTCCTTGGTTGTCTTTCTTCGAACAGGTCCATCTCCTGTTGTTCAGCATGAAGCTCGGCGCAGAGGTGCATCTCCGAGATCCTTCCGTGGGCGCGAAGAAGCGAGCGTGTGGTTCTCCATTCTGGCCCGAGTCCGGCGAGGACAAGCGTCACGAAGCTTTCTTCAGTGATTGTTCCTCCGCACCGAAGCAGGCGGTCGCGGAGGGTCTGGCATCGACTCATATACTGCATCGCCTTTTCCCCGGTCTTCATCTGTATTGTTGTCAGCTGTTGCATGAGTCTGCTTTGTGTCACGCTGTCGTTTGCTTGATAGAGACACTTGAGATGATGCCATGCGAGTTCCGCGGAGTTTCCATAGCTTCGATACGTTCTGATGCTCTGCTGTTCTTGTGGTGACAGGTTCTGCAGAAGAACTGTATACGCCAGCTGCGACTGATACGTGAAAATTTCTTGCTCTTTTCCAGTGCCGTTGCTTGGAAATGGCAGGGACCCGTTAAAGTATCCTAAGAGATGCGCAGCCTCCATCAGCAGCTCGAACTCAAAGCTCCAGGTAAAGAAGTCATGCCCGTTGAACGGTGAGGATGTCTGTAACTTGATTACGTGTGAAAACTGCGCCTGGAGACTCAAAATCTCGTTTGGTGTCTTTTGTGATGCAGCTGCTGTTGGTTGGGCACGGGGCGGCATGAACTCGAATGTCCCCGGTGAAGAGTGATAAGGCGCAAAGGTAGGCGCTTGGTTGTGTCGCCCGAATGATGAATTGTCGAGGCTCATCGGTGCTAATCCCATGTTTCCTCCGTTGCTCTGTGTTGAATGCGCAGGTGTCCTTGTCTGCTGCTGCTGGTCGAAGTGCGACATGAAGCTGAAGAACCTTTCCATAAGGTTCAGATCCACGCTTGAAGAGGGTGATGGGGTCACCATTTCCGGTGCTCTTCCTGTTGTTTCTTGAGCAGCGCCGGTCTCGGTTTGCAGTCCTGAAGTGTGCAATCCAGAGTTGCCGGGTTGAGTGTCTTGGGTGTTGGGTGAGCCCGTAGAGATTTTCTTGCCCTTGCTGTCCATGACTTGTAATCAATGAAGTCGTTGAATTGCATATTGTAGATAGAGCGTAGTTGCTGGGAGTTTGGTCTCTGACCAGCTCTCATACCATGTTGGGCTGAGAAAAACCCTTAGGATCTTTCCAGAGACTAAGTCCCAGTTGAGGATTGAGACTTGAGTAGTGCAGCGGAAGTTGAGTAGTTGAACCCTTGTACTAGTATATGAGAACAAGTGATTGATTAAAGAAACAAGCATACAGCAATATATAGAAAATAAGAAAGCAGTTGCAGAATACAGTTGCAGGAGCGGTTATCGAGTCGCACAGAGACTCGATTGTCGCTTCGGTTACCATCCGCGCTGTTGTAACGGTCAGTCCTAACCTCCAGTTGCGACCCTTCGAGTCCCTTCGCGTTCTTTGTCCGCCCCCTCGTGTAACCTCCGTTGACTCGCGTACCCGTTGTGATCTTCCTCGAGTGTAGTGTTACACTTCAGAAACGCTAAAATCCTTGAAAGGGAGAAACAAGTTTTCTTGACGACTATTTTCCTCACGTTACATGGGAAACTCCCACCACGTTCCTTACTCCTACCTAGGATTGCTTTTTCAAGCTAATCCAGTCCAGCTGAAAAATGGCTGAACACTCCCCCATTGCCTAAGAAAGATCGCCCCACCGCACATTGTGCTTAGCCGCTAAGTAATGGGCTCCAATAGGCCCCCTGCTGCCATAGGGATAAAGCTCCGGGGCAAGGTGTTTCTTCTCCAAATCCTGCAGCAGCGGTGTGAAGATGTTCCACGCAGCCTCAAGCTCATCAGAGCGGATGAAGAGGCGCTTGTCCCCCTCCATGGCATCCAGCAGCAGGCGCTCATACGCATCCGGCAGCTCGTGCTGATACCTGCAGAGACCACACAACAGGGCAGCACAGTTGACACAAAAGAATGGCACCACATGCAGTTCACACCAAAACAAGCTCATCCAAAGGGAACCAACCAAATGCAGAGCAGAGCAGAGCCGAACCGAGCAAACGACACTCACCTGTCAATGTATCGCAGGTTGAGGCGCGAGCGGTCGAGCCTGAAGTCGAGCCCCGGGACCTTGTTGTTGATCTTGAGGTAGATGGCCTCGTTGGGCTGCAGGCGGATGACCAGCTCGTTGGTGCACAGGTCCACGTCCACGCCAAACATGTTGTGCTGGTACAGGTTCCCCGGCACGTGCCGGAACTGCACCCGGATCTCACACCTGGAGGGAGGGGGAAGGGCAGGGAAGGGACATGGAAGCAGGGACATGGGGAGGGGTTTGGGGGGGAGGAGGAGGGAGGGGGAGAAGGTGGATGGAGGGTCTCATGCAGCCAACACATGTTGAGATGAGCAGTACACATTTGCACGCACAAACGCATGCTCTCTTGCATCCATGAAAATGCATGCATGCATGCATCGAAGCAGAGTCCTGTGGGCTGACCTGAGGTCGTGCAGCGCCTTGCCGGCCTTCATGAGGAAGGGCACCCCGTCCCAACGCGCATTGTCAATGAACATAGCCGCTGCTGCGAACGTGGGCGTGATGCTGTTGTCTGGCACCGTGGGGTCGTCCGTGTAGCCCTCGTACCTGCTCTCTCACTCACTCACACACACACACACACACACACACACACACACACACACACACACACACACACACACACACACACACACACACACACACACACACACACACACACACACACACATGCGCGGTGGATAGGGTGATGGTGACAGACACGCAAACACATATATACAAGCTGATTCATTACAATTACAGTACTAGGGGGAGGGGGGTGTAGTACCTTATGCGCAATGTGCAAGGCTGGACGGCAAAAAGCGGCCATAATCTGATGATCAATCGACTTGCAGGCCCTCTCAGTGCGACTCACTTGCAGCCTGACTTGCTGACGTGGCCCTTGTACTGCGCGACCACTGCGTCCTCGAGCTTCACCTGGCGCATGGAGCGCAGCACCTTCACCTGGCGTGGTGGAGACATGGAGACGTGTGTTGGGGGGAAGTGGGGGTGAGAGCGGAGTAGTGAGGAACAAGAGAAGTGAGGGAGGGAGAAAATGACAAGAGGCAGGGAGGTGGTGATGAGAAGGGATGACAAGACGCACTGGACAGTACAACACAATTAACCAGACAGCAGACAGCAGACAGCAGAGAGCAGAGAGCAGAGAGCAGAGAGCAGAGAGCAGAGAGCAGAGAGCAGGCAGCAGGCAGAAGACAGAAGACAGAAGCAAACAGCAGAGGGCTGACTGTATTGCAGATGGCAAAGCCATGCATGGTGAGTGAATCGTACCTTCTCATTGATGATGTCGTCCGCAGAGAGCGAGACGGGCGGCTCCATGGCGAAGAGCGTGAGGATCTGCAGCAGGTGGTTCTGCATGATGTCCCGGATGATGCCGTAGTGGTCAAAGTACCTGGGGAGGGGGAAGGGGGGGAGGGGGGGAAGGAGGAAAATTTCGAAAGCAATCGAAATTGCAACACTCGCAGCCAAATTCGCTGGTGCCTACCACTCGCCTGCCAAGCAGTAGTTTTTGTCCCAACCAACTGTTCTACAGTTGGTAAACTTTGGTTGCGAGTGACAGTACAAGAGAAATCGGGGAAGTGGGGAAAATACTAAAAAAAAAGGGACAGAACGGCTAGGCCAGGAAGAGCGAGGGCAAGGTAGAGGAGGATGGAAGAATAGCAGCAGGGCAGGGATAGACTACCCCTGGCTGCAAGCACAAGGCCCTCAATTCCCCCTAACATTCCCCACCTTTTGCCTCGCTCTGACTCACCCCCTCCCCGACCCTCGGTGCCAAAGTCCTCAGAGAAGAGCGTTTGCACTTTGCGGCTGTTGCGTCCCCCCCGAACCCCCTCCACCCGGGACCCTTGCCCCCCTTCCCCAAATCCTCCCGCCCCATGACTCCCTCCCGGTGCCTCACCCGCCACGGCCCTCGGTGCCAAAGTCCTCGGAAAAGATGATCTGCACGTTGCGGATGTACTGGCGCGACCACAGCGGCTCGAACACCAGGTTCGAGAAGCGCAGCACCAGCAGGTTCTCCACCAGCTCCTTGCCCAGGTAGTGGTCGATGCTGCGGGGGGGGGGGGGGGGAGGAGAGTGGGGGTGGGGGACGGTAGGGGCACGAGGGGGAAAGGTTGGGGGAAGGTAACGGTGAGTTGGGAGAGAGAGCAGCGCAGCACCCGCAGGGCCGACACCAGCTCCTTGCCCAGGTAGGGGTCGATGCTGGTGGGGGGGAGGGGGGAAGAGGGGAGGGCGCGGGGCGGAAAGGTAACGGCGGGTGGAAAGGAAAGAGTGAGAAGCGCAGGACCAGCAGGTTCTCCACCAGCTCCTTGCCCAGGTTGGGGAGGGGGGGGAAGGGGGAGGACGGGAGAAGAGAGCGGGGAGGGGATGGGGTGAGGAGGGTGGGGGGGAGGATGGGGAGACGAGGGGGGAGGGGGTAGAGGAACAAAGGGGAAAGTCAACATTTAGTGGGAGGTGGGGGGACAGAGTGAGCAGCGGCAGAGGAACATAAAACACCCTGTAGCTCTCACAATACCCCTTATCAGGAGAACGTGCAGATTACCAACTCCTAGGCAGAAACGGCATGCCATCCCTAACTCTCGCCCCTATGACCCCCACCCTCCCCCAATCTCACTTTCCCTCTCGCCTGCCTGCCCTCCCCCCTTAGCCTTCCTCTCTCCCCCGCCCTCGGCTCACCGGTAAATCTGGTCCTCGGTGAAGTGCTGCCCGAGCTGCTGTGTGAGCTGCGCGCTGGACTCGCTGTCGCGGCCGAACGGCTTCTCCACGATCACGCGCGTGTACCCCGTCTGGGACGTCGCCGCCAGCGACACCGACCGCGCCGCAGGCACGAACACGTTGGGCGGGATGGCGAGGTAGTACATGCGGTCCGCGATGTAGCCCGCCTGGGGGAGGGCGGATGTGGGTGTGGGTGTTGGGGGGGGGGGGGGGGGGGGCGGGGGGGTAGGTGTATGGAGGAGGAAAGGGATTGAGGGAAGGAGGAAAGCCAAAGTGACGCTTTGAGTCGAGTCACGAGTGAAGGGGATGGCGAGGCAGCGGCTATTGGCAAAGAGCAGCATCAGTGTCATCATCACCACCCTGAGCGTACCTCGAGTTCCTTCATGCGCTTGTCGAGCCCCGCGAAGCTGTCCTCGCTGTCGTACTGTCCGCTGTGGTAGAAGCACCGCTCCAGGAAATAGTCCATCTTGTCGCCGCAGTCGTCGCTGCGGGCCACAAGGTGGAGATGGGTGGGGTAGGGTGTGCGTGAGGAGGGAGAGGGCGGGGGGAGAGGAGGAGAGAGTGAATTCAAGGGAATGTACGGGAGAGGAGTAACGGACGGTGACAGAAACAAGAGGCGGTGACGACTTGTGTAGCTTGGATCTGCTAGAGACGGCTTGAATCAACACACGCAAAAGCAAATGAACGAGCGGGGAGGCGGAATGGGAGAACAGGGATAGCGAAAAGACGAGCGAGAAGAGAGGGGGGAGGGGGGGGGGGGGGGGGGGGGGGGGAGCGTGCTCAGGGAACGCGCAAGCGGGTTTCCTTCAGAGCCGGGGGGACGGCAGCGTGCGTACCTCTTGTCGATGCGGCACGTGAGCGTGGTGCTGATGAGCTCGCGCAGCTGCGCGTCGTCCATCTTGCTACGCGCGTACCCGAATATTTGAAACCGCTGCGCGTGGACGCACGAGATACAAGAGACGAGAGACGAGAGACACAAGGGAAGAGGGAATTGGCGGAGGGGGGAATCAGACGATGTGGGAATGTTGGATGAGCCGGGAAGCGCTAAGGGCTGAAAGAATAGCCGCGAGTGAAGTAATAAAAACAAATGGCGGATGGTGAAGTGCCGGAAGAAGGGTAAACGGCAGTTTCATCTGCGTCGGACGGATCGCGTGCAACTCTTTTGCTCTTCGCAGAGAGATCGCTTCAGTACGGGCCGCGCATCTTACAGACAACCTGATAACTTGAGCTTTCTACTATTCCGTGTTCAGCCTTGTTCGCTCTTAATCTTCCCCCTTTCATCGCGTCCAGCGTCCCTAGTACCAACGGCGCCCGCCCTACCCCTCACCTTCGGGAGGCAGCCCTCATAGTAGAGCGCGAAGAGCGCAGGGAAGATCTTCTTGCGCGCGAGGTCCCCTGACGCGCCGACGATGGTGAAGGTGAGCATGCGCGCCGGCACCATGTGCCCGTCCACCTCCTCGTACATCTGCTCCACGATCGCCGCCGCCCCGGCCGTCGCCGCCGCCGCGTGCGCGTCGGCGCTGATGCCGGTCTCCTCTGCTGCTGCGGGGACTGCGCCAATTTGGGGGGAGAATCCGGGGTTCCGACGGGAGAAAACGGGGGGAACGAAGGGGGAGAATAAAAAAGAAGGAAAGAAGGCGGGATGTCGGATGAGACGGAAATTCAACCTTCTATTTCAGCAAGAAAGATCAGGTTGATCAAGGACTACTTGAAATTATAACATGGAACGTCGTTTCAGCTTAAATAGGATGGGGTGAGAACACCAAGATGCGCACAGGGTGGGCGAGACGGCCAAAACAAATTTGCAGCACGTCGCAGAAAGCTCTTGAAATAGTTGAAAGAGGAACAATCATGTGGATGGCCTGACATGAGACACGAGACCGTCAAGATCGCGTGGTGACGAACCTAAGAAATAGCAGCAAGACCGAGAGGGCATTGAAAGCAGGACTGTTACATTGATCGGAAACGACGGCTTGAGGCGGCGGCGACGACGCGCGGCTGCGCGACGCCCGCTTCTTCTTCCCGGCGACAGCTGCGATTCCCGGCGACTGCGGCGACTCCGGCAGCATTGACTGGGACGACTTTCGCGACGTGCGCGACGACCGCGACGTGGTGAGATGAGGTAGAGGCTGAGGGGCAGCCGCCACGCGCACCGATCTGCGTAGATTGTGCGCTGTTAGTAGAGTGGTCGGATGCAGCGCGTGCGACAGCGCAGCGCGGGTTGACGCGTCCATGGCGACGAAGACGTGACAGAGAGTAGCGGACGGTTTTTTAAGATCGTTTCTTTTCACGCAGTCGCTAACGGCCTGCTTGAAAAGCAAACGAAAAAGCGCGGCGAAGGGACGATGAGTGATGCTGAATCCAGCGTTGAGATGTTCGAGATAAATGGCAGAAATGCTGAAGGCTTTATTGGCAGCCCCACTGATCAAGAAATGGCGGAGATGGGATGGCATCAAATTGAAGGGGCAAGGGTCAAAAGCGCGGGGAGGAACGGATGGGAGAGGGGGGGACAGGGGCGGGCGGAGGCGGTGATGCAATTCCCCCCAACGAGCCCTCAGCTCAGCCTCTTCCCCGTGGCGCAGGGGCGGGAGTTGAGGGGGCAATGCGACAAACGTAGCGGGGAGGAGGGGGCAACGCAGCTCCTCGTGAAGCGGAGTGTCACATAAGGGCTGCCAGCGATGCGGAACAGCAGAGCCCCTCCGCCACCGCCCCTTGCTGCGCGGATATTACGCCCCCACTCAGCTTTCGGGATGCCCGAGGGGACGATCTCCAAATTTCTGCCACGGCGCCCTGTCTGCTGGAAAAAGCGAAGGGACGGACGAATCGGGAATAATCGCCCTCGTGGACCCTCCCAGGAATTTGGACGGGACAGATCAGCCGTAAACTATCTGCTGGGTCGGAAATTGCCTATCCACGCACGTGACACTTCAGCTAACGGGATGAAGCGGAGTTTTGGGTCGAATGGGATCTTAGACATGCCTTGTGCTGACTGGCCATTTTGCGGATTGGCCAACGACGCCACGAAAAAGCAAAATGAAGCCACGTCACCCCCCCAAAGGTTGTCCCAGCTGCTTCAGCTGATTGATTCGTTCTCGTTATGGTGAGAGATTGAAACGCTTGCCATTATTCAAATGTTTGACATGCCTTCTTCAGATTTTGTGAGCTTCATTATTACTATTTGGAAAAATACACTTGGCCTTATCTTATGGTAAATATTGTTTCCATTCACTTCCTATGGTAAATTTGACTTAAGTTAACATT